TGGGGGGGGGAAAGGGACGTCGTGGAGCGGGTCGGGTCAAGGCGGGGAGGGCAGAAGTCGCAAAAATAAACGAAAGACGCAACAGCAGCCAGCGCCTTCAGACACAGCCACCACGTGGCAAGACGGCAAGGATCTATGAGTTGTACCAAACTCCTTTGTTCTTCATGTTTTGAGACAACAGTGGTTTCCTAACATCACGCAATAACAGCAGTAAAGCAATCCACCCTTTTTCAGTGAAGTAATCTACTCTTGTGGCTACCAACTCGGAAAGCTAAATGAAGGATAAGCATCATACCAGCTAAGCACATTTAAGACCCCAAAATTAAAATTACGCCTCATTAAAATGTTCCAGGAAGAATAGATATCAGAGTACAAGTTACGAAAGTGTAGGTCTGAAATCTAGTGTTTGCTTTAAAGTTCCCGCGAAACATCATGCAGCGCGCACGTCCAAAGGGCAATAAGGGGCGAAAACGCTGTCTGTATTGTAACGAGTTAAGATGCCATGGATTTTTAACATCAAGAAAACATTTATGTACACAGCGTGGACTGGAATACAGAACTGCTAGCTACTGCTTGCCCTGGAACATAGGTTCGAGGGGTTGGAGGCTAGGAGGACGGACAATATACACCGATAAGCAGAATCAACAACGAGAAAGAAGAAAGATGTCTCGCTGACTGGACAGAAGTTTATAGTCTTGGAAGATGGACAAAAAGTTTTATGTAGGAAAAGATGGAATGTGTGTCAGACCGTGGAGAGAAATGAAATGTCTTAAAGAATTGACAAAGGATATATCAATTGGAGTGTAGAAGAGGATATGAAGGTTTCGGAATGTGGACGATGTTTTGACGTCTTGTGAATTTGAGCAAGAAGGTGTGTGTTTCAAGGCATAGACGGACTGTGGATGTATTCAAAGAACTATTAGGATTGGATTTGTTTTTCTGTTTATGAATTTGATTCATTGAAGAGAAAAAAACAGAACCATTGCAGTACCGAGGCGTAACAGTCACTACGTAACAATCACTAAGAAGAAATTCGTGTAAACCATAAACAAATTTTGATTATCTCCCGTGTTCCCCAATGTAAGCTTTTTATTTTTTTCGGTTTACTCTAATGATTGTTATGTTTGATTAACACAGCCAAAGAAAGGAACGAAAAGCCACTTTTAACGTTCGGCATTCATTGAGGAATTGAACAGTTCGCCGTCCGTTAAGAACAATTCGATCGAAACCAATGAGTTTTGCGAAAGATGGTACATGAGTGATTCAATTCTAAGAAAATGTAATTCTTAGTTATACGTTTTTATTGTAAGGATGTAGTATAACAAAAAGTACGTAACGATACAAGGCCGATATCTAAAATAAAGAACTTATTTCGTTATAAACCACAGCTACCGACTCCGTTTACAAACGTCAACCCCACCAGTTATTATTTTGCAATGGGCAGGAAGTAAAATGTGTTATAAACAATAATGTGTTAAAACCAATTATTTGAATGATTGCGAATCCTAGTACTATAAATGCTAACTTAGCGCCTGCTCTCAACTCACTACTAAATGCACTCATTTCAACACAATAACTTTCTTGTCATGAATACCCTTCCATATAAGCGCCAGCGCTGTGCATCCTAGCGCTACAAATCCTAGTGCTATAAATGAGTGAGTGCACTCACCCAGTAGTAATGCGCGACGGCCGCCGCAGAGGAGGGGCGGCCGGCCGGCTCCGCCTTCATCCCTGCAGGCGCCGGCGCAGGGAGGTGGCGTCTGCAACAGCCCCAACGCCCACACGCCGCACGTTAATCGGCAATTCGATTGCACGCACACTCATTATACAATTCAATTGCGACCACACACGTTAAACAATTCAATTGCGACCACGCACGTTCAACAATTCACGTGCGACCACACACAGTTCAATTGCGACCACACAATTAAACAATTCAATTGCGACCACACACATTAAACAAATCAATTGCGACCACACACGTTAAACAATTCAATTGCGACCACGCACGTTAAACAATTCAATTGCAACTACACACATTAAACAATTCAATTGCGACCACGCCCGTTAAACAATTCAATTGCAACCACACACATTAAACAATTCAATTGCGACCACGCACGTTAAACAATTCACGTGCGACCACTCACAGTTCAATTGTGACCACACATATTAACAACTCTATTGCGACCACACATATTAAACAACTCTTTTGCGACCACACACATTGAACAATTCAATTGGGACTACACACGTTAAGCAATTCAATTCCGACCACACACATTAAACAATTCAATTGCGATCACACACATTAAACAATTCAATTGACCACACACATTAAACAATTCAATTGCGACCACGCACGTTAAACAATTCAATTACGACCATGCACGTTAAACAATTCAATTGCGACCACGCACGTTAAACAATTTAATTGCGACCACACACATTAAATAATTCAATTGCAACCACACAGATTTAAATGACAACCACAAACGTTAAACAATTCAAATGCAACCACACACAATTCAATACCAACCACACACAGCGAACAATTAAATTGTGATCACACACATTAACAAATCAATTGCAACCACATACAGTTTAACTGCAACAACTCACAATTCAATTGCGACTAGACATATTAAATAATCAATTACGACCACACATCAATCAAATGCAACCACATACATTAAACACTTAAATTGCGACAACAAACGTTAAACAATACAATTGAAAAATGTGAATTTTTCCTAGAGCTTTGATCGATAGGACACCTGGTTACTCTTTACGACCCGACGGGACATATTCGACCTCAGACTAGACACCAACACACTTGCGATCTCCTCGGTTCCGGGGTCAGCAGAACGCAAGGCCTTCTCCGACAACACATACACGAGAGGTTAGGGACAAATAACCTTGCCTAAGGCGGGACTCGAACCCGCGAAGCGCAAAGTCGGTACATTCTCTCAGCCATCGAGGTCGTCGACATGTGAATATTCTTGGAATTTTCCGCTTGAAAATTGAAGGCTTTAGATCGTTGCCTTACAAACCAACAATGTTTTGGCCTATTAATGTTATGAATCGAAATAACTGAACTTTATTATTAACACCATCAAAGGAATGTGCACTGCAAATAGATTTCTCTTAAGCAAAGAACAAGTTCAATTTAAGAAAACTTTTGGCAAATTTTTATTGGCCAGAAAAACTAAAAGGGAAAACTTAAATAATTTCGAGGAATTGAATATATCCCTTAGCGTATGTACTGTTTGGACATTTTCTCAAGATTCAATTTCTAATGAAATAAGAGCAGAGTCATGTAATTGTAATATTGACGGTATAAATAAACAATAATATTACGTTAGTGAAGTGTATTTGACAGTTATATTCATGTTACAAACTTTTGTTTAGGCTCTACCAGTTCATAACAAATAAGTACCTCGCTAGTACATCCTCGGGCATAAAAAATACAGAAACAATCCATAGAAATACTTCTTTATTTCTATTTTGTTAAATTGTTTTATTTAATTATCACAAATCTGAACAATAAAGTGGTAAAGATTCATGTTATACCGGAAAGTCAGTATGGTATACCGGAAAGTCACAGAGTTTCACAGCTTGCAACATGAAACACGTAAAAACTGTTTTTATAGAATTCTTTCAGAATGTTATAGAAGTTTGGTTACAATAAATGTCAATCCATTCTTCCTTTTAGGTACTTTAAAATACAACAAAGCACGTCTTAGTTGCTTAAAACACAAAATCACCGAAACATTTTTTTTATAGAATTCACTTTGGTATAATTATCTGTAAGGGTTCGAAAGAAAAAAAAACAATTGCTTACCGCACACACGTGAAATGACACCAACTACCACCAAGGGTAAGACAAAAGTGATCTAGCCGAAAGTATCAGACATAGGCAGCCACAAGATCTTTGTGTAAAACTACAATGCGCACGCGAACAATTATCTTCCTGGGACACCTAAAGGAAAAATGTTTTTAAAAAAATGTTCGTGTGCTAATCTTTAAAAAAATAATATTTATACAATGTTATTGCTTCAAATAAAACCTAGTAACGATGTCTTTTATTTTGACTAATAGAAAGTTACAAAGTTGCAAGAAAATAATGTAATCAATCACATAACAATTTTACTGGCGTTTCGTTTATGAAATTAATCACTCGCTACACTCAATACGAAGGTGGTTATAGCTCTACCGACCTTGTCAGCAAATTCCTCTTTCAGAGGTTGGCAGCACACTGAGCAGAGCATTCCGCTGGCCACCTTCATATCCTGTAACACAGGGGTTTGGAAAATGACCTTTTCCCTTCGAACGTTCCAAATCCCTCCGTGTCGGGTTTCTCTCCTCCCGCCCTTTGTGTGCTTGAAGGAGCAGAGAAAGCTTTAAAGCAGCATCGCTTTTAGTTCCTCCACTATAAGTAGCAGAGCTACCAACACAATTTCAAGTAGAACTATTAAGTAGATTACATAATTCATTCCAGAACATACTTTCCGTCAAATTACATTTAGCGCTAATTGCAATATTTAAAAAATATAAATATCTATGTTTGTCTCATTTACTCCGTTTGCTGGTCCGTAAGGGCACCGTGAGTGACAGACGGACGGACTCAGATTGCGTGATTACGATGTAAAGATGTATGTGGAACGTCGAAGTTCGCGCGCACGCGCCTCCAAGACAGCGCGCTCTATATTGCAGCCTGGAAGTTGGCACCGCATGTGCGCTCCGACCAACGAATTACATAGAGTGGCTGACCCTACAGTTTCAATGCGCTTGGTAGACACTTGCTGAAAATGGGGCCGCCATGTTTTTGGCAGTCAAAACATATGATTGGTGGCCTAGTGGTGACGTATAGAACTGTTGTTATACTGAAAGGACGTGTTGTTTGTACAAGAATTTATTTCTATTTTGTTGCCTTTTTCGTTTAGTTGTATTTAAGTTATATTCGTGGTTAGGATAATAATATTCACAATGCCTTCAGTATGTTCAGTACATAACTGTAAAAATGGAAGTAATCAAACCATAAATATATAATTTTTCAAGTAAGCGCTTTTTTAGTCCTGGTTTCTAATAAATACGTCGACTTCATAAAATTCAAATTGAAGAAATTTATTTTATTGAATAAATGCCTAGAGAGCGCTGCTATGACTACAAAAATTTCTTCAATTTGCTGAAAAGTTGGCGGCGCTTCAGCCGCTCTTTGTAGTATATTCTAACTCGTTGGCTCCAACAAGCATCAAACCGTTGGAACGAGCCTGGACCGGCAGCGGCGCCACGTATGTAACTGGCATTCCGATGCCCGAAAGGACTGCGTTCGAGTGCTGTAGAGGTTGCTTGAGGATATGGATCACTGACTACGCTACGTACATAGTTTATTCTTGTGGAGATTCCAGTGTCTAGGCTTCGAACAGGGACGTCTTCTGATAAACTATGAACAGCTTTTGGACATGGCATTTATCGTCTAGTTAGTCTACCATGCATTTTTATCTAGTACGAATCGTATGTAGGAATTTTGTAAAGTTAAAAAGGTGGTAATAACTTGCTATTGTTTATACTTCGGTCCACTTCATTTCGATACATTTCAGTATGTACGTATGTATGTATGTATGTGTCTTCCGTGGCGTCTTTCATCCTATTTGGTCACTTGACTCTCCTTCACGGCGGAGAAGTCATGCCTCAAGGTGCGGCCACCGTGCTACTTTGCAAGTTTCCTCCTTCCATCATCTGATATGACCCACCGGGCCTCATATTCGGTGTCTCGTGCTATGCCTTATGAGTGTGGCTCACGGGACCCATCAGCTTAATCCGATACTAACTAAATATGGGGACACAGGACAGGACTTAGGTAGCGCAAACTAGGGACAGAGGGGCCGTAGTGGGAACAAGCTGGCGGCAGTGTCCCACATTGCTAACGGTGGGGAGACAAACATTAGGAGCAAAATTGTCCAAGTTCCACATGTGCACGTCTCACATATCATGCTCCTACACCATCAGTACAGACCACGAAAGGTGGGATAGGTGTGGAAAGATGATACAGGGTAACTGGGACAGGCCATCATACCACCACACAGCAAAGGATGATTAAAGATCAAAGAGGTATCAAGCAGACAATAATCGATGTAGGAAGCAATATGTATTTAAAGTTTCTCAATTCGTTCTCCTAACACATGGTCATTCTGTTTTTAATGATTGGTTTTCGATCATGAGAACACACAATAAGAGGATTTATATTACGCGCGGCCTGCGCCCACCCGCCCGTAACCAACGGGAAACGTAATGCTAGAATTCTTTCCCAGAGGGCGCTGCTTTGACTGCAAAAAACAAACAAACATGGTTTCAATTTGCTTCAAAGATGGAGGCGCTTCAGCTACTTTATATAGTATATTCTAACTCGTTGAAGGTTAGTAACATTCGGAAACGTACATTATCGCGTCCGAAATCGAAATGTGCAAAGATGTAAAGCACACATATGTACCTGTAAATAAAGTCAGGCGAATATCAACAAAAGAGAAAAAAATCTGTAAGGATCCTGTACTTCACAGAACCCGCTGTACATGAATTATTGCACCCTTTTTGCGTCCTTCCTAAGGTTTTTGCAGCGCCTCGTCGGAAGGCGGGATGAAAATTTTATGGACTAAAGGAACCACTGCAGCAGCGGGAAAGAAATCTTTCTCGATCTCCGGTAGAATAACGACCGTGCGGATGATAAAG